TTTTGAAGTGCGCTAATTTATTTGTTAAGAACTACTTTACCCTAACATTTCATGAAAATCTGTCCATAAATAAGAAAGTTGGATTTGTGCATGCGCAGTTTTTTTTAAACGCGTGCTATGCTAAGCCCCAAGTACTAACGATTCCTGCCACCCAACAGAGTTTATTTTCTTGTTCTCCTCCTCTATCATATAATTTAACCATTTTCTCGATCAAACTGGAGTTTAGATCAATGTATTGGGTCTCTATGGTCCAAAATGATTGATAACACATAGCAAGCTCTATGTTAGGGTGTATGCTAATCAAGGTTTAAAATGCTAGTAGCGCATCGGATTTATAACCACAATAAACAAAAGTCTAATTGTGGAGAGTGAAAAATTGATTTTTTGGTAAGGCTCGGTTCACGCCAACCTTGGCCATGGAGGCACTTCTGGGACTAGAGCCTTTACACTTAGCTGTGGAGGCAGAGGCTCGGAAAGCTTCCATACGGCTAAACGATTGGGATGAATGGAAGGATCGAGGCAGCCTTGGGCACGGGCGGATCTGGGAGGAAACCCTCAGAACCGATCCCCTCCTTGCAAGGAGGGACGTGATCCGGGCTATCTTGCAAAGACCAAAGCGTTATAAAGTCATTCTCCCGGATAGGGAGCAGTGGCTGAACTCGGATTGCTCGTTCCTCAAACCTGAGGGGCTCGTGTGGTTTACAGAAAGGGGAACGGGCATGGGTATATATGGTGATCGACCGAGAGCCAGCGTCAGCGTCTCCCTTGGTCAGCATAGTACCGTATTTCAGGCAGAGATGTTAGCCATCATGACCTGTGCACAGGAACACCTCCGGAGAGGTTACCGTAACAAGCATATCTACATATGCAGTGATAGTCAGGCGGCGTTGAGGGCCCTGTCGGTAGACAGGTTCCGATCAGCTACGGCGCTTGATTGCAGGCGAACCCTAGATAGATTAGGTGAGTCTAATAGCGTAAGCTTGATTTGGGTGCCAGCGCACTGCGGAATAGGGGGCAACGAAAGGGCGGACGAGTTGGCCTCCGAGCGAAGGCAGTGGTTGGCGTCTTCCGGTCGGGCCCCATTTCTAACAGGGCCCCTTGGCAAATCGGGGTTCTTCTAAGCTTTCCTAAAAGCAAAAACTGAATAGAAGCCAGCTTTAGGAAGATACACAGCTGGTGTCTTACGGACAAACTGGAATGGCTCCAACTATCACCTGCATAACGATTGGGCTCAGCGGAGAGAGTCAAGCGATGCAGAGTTCTGTGGCGAGGCAGATGGAAAACTACGAGCAATGGGTTCCCTGTCACTTTGTGACGTTCTTTGATGCAAGGGACAGATATGCAACTACCTATGGAGACAGAATACTTGGAACGGAGGAGGGTTGAAGCACACTTAGGGACTAGACACCAGCGGTCCTAATCCTTCATTGAGAGTGAACGGGCTCTGAACTCAGTTT